GCGCTCGGCGGAGGGGGCCGCTTTGCGGCGGGGCTGAGAGGGTTGGGGTGAAAATTTCGCTTCTTTCAGCTAGGCGACAAAAAAAAAGGAAAAAAAAAAAAGGCATCGTCGGCAGCAGCGTGTGGTGTAAAGAAAGAGAAGGGCTTTATGGTGGTGGTTGGTTCCAGCACAGCGGGGTACGGGGAAAGGCTGGCAGAATCAACAGGGCACTTGTTTACTGATGCACGAAACCTCTTTGGCCCAGCGCCCGAGAGCTGCCTTGGAGAAGTTGGGTGCTCACCTTCCCCGGCCTAAATGGGTCAGCGGGGGGATTGCAGCTTGCTGTGACGTGCTGTCCGAACTCCAGAAAACAATTGGTACCTTTAGGAAAGGAGGGGATGGTGTGGGAAACAATGAAGTATTGTGATTAATAGGAAAAGAAAAATGAGTATGTGGAGCTGGCTGCTTAATGACACCTTTGGAGCTGTTTTACTAATAATGCTTCTTACAGTCTGCACGTGATCATGGATTATGACTCTTAAGAGACACTTAAGTGGTCTTGCAAAGACTGAGGGTCCTTGAGTTTATTACTTGGCAGGGGGCAGCAGCATGAGGCCTGGGAAGCAAATAGGAAGTTAATATTATCCATTTAGTTTTGATGCTGTTCTGAGTCTTCGACAGTTATTAGTGTCATCATAGACTGATCTTAGCTCAGATAGCATCTCACACGCTGAAAGGTAGTACTCTTATCCTGGTAGATACGTAGTTCTTCTGAGTGTGCGAGTAGTCTCTCTGATAGCTTATGGAAAATGTTCTGGTTATTTTTATCATGGCAAGTATGTTTCTTTAAGAGTAAACCAAACTATATCATACTGAAAAATGTTCTCAGCCTGTAACTGTCTTAATCGCTTGTGTTCAAAATGAAAACGGAAACCTCTCTTGACTGATTCACGTGGCTAATGAGGTTTGTGACAACAGAACTGCGTGCAGTTTTATTACATTGAGGTGTCATTACCTCTGACCCAAAAGTGCAGTTCAAGCTGAGGATGTGCTGTCCTCTGGCTTTGTGTGCTGCCCTGTGTAACCAGCAGTGGCAGAGATCCAGGCTGTGTTTTCAGAGAAACAGCCCTGGTTTCTTGATGGTCTGCGTCAAGCCTCTATGAGACAGCAGTGCCTGGTGTGGAGACAAGAGGAAGGAATAGTGGTAAGCTCTTGAAACACAGGCCTGACAGCTGTTCCTGCTACGAGAAATTCTTTCCTGATAGGGCGTTCAGAGGCTTGATATGTCCCCCTATTTTCTTGTGCCTCTTGAGGCCTCAATAAAACGGTGTTCGCCTGGTCCTTAAATTAATGTGGCCATAGGTAGCAGCATGTGAGATGCACTGGAGTAGTTTGCTCTTTTTCAGTTCTGCTTTGTTTACCTGTCTGAAGACTTTGTTGGATGTTACTGTATCAAGTGAGAAGCATTCAATATTTTTCTTTCCTGTCCTGATAGGAAATATGCTTCAGCTTTTACTTTAAAGGAGTTGAGTTAATGAAAAGAGCTGTATCCTAGCACAGAAGTGTGTGTCTGTAAGTTTATGTGGCTGTGATATCATTATTAATCTCTCTGATACAGGCAGGACCAAAGTGTCTCTCCTGTGTAGAAAGTTCTGATGTCACCACAGGAAAATCACGGGCTTTTCAGCAGTAAAGTTCTGAACAAAATTCCTGTCTTCAGGTGAGTGTTAGTTCCTGCTAGGTGGAACCTGACTGTATTCCCCTGGGGGAATAATTTCACGCTCTTTGTTTCCCTAGAAAATTTATAGTTCCCAACTGCCCTGCTCAGTTCTGTGTGGATGCAAACCGTGCTGACTCATATGCTGAACTGTTTGCAGCCTTGCTCCATGTAAACACAAGCACACTTCTAAAATATTTAATTTGTAATGTCCTCTGTGGAGAGCTATCCCACAGCTCCTGGCATAATTCCCAGAAGCAGCAGATTCTGGGGTACTGGGAGTTTCAAAGGCCATTGGTGCCTGGCGGGATAACCGTCTGAACTAGTTTAGTGTAGTTTATCCTGGCACTGGGACAGTTCAAACTGAACAGGTATTTAATCTTGCTTAAAGCAAGCCTGCTTTGAACAATACTTGGTATGTGTATAAACGATTTGGAGCCTGTTGAGACATGGCTGTCAGGAGATCTACATGGTAGGCAAATCGTTGTTATGGCAAGTAAACTTTGGTGATGTACCTCCTAACAGTTTTTAAAAAAAAACCCTTATCTGTGTGCAATTATAGTAAAATTGGGAATAAGCTATTAAAAGATGTGTTTTCTTAGTTCCTCTGTGGCAAGTAACAGTAGTAATTGTTTTGTGAAAGCGCTGAGTTTATATCCACATGTAAAATGCTTATTAAAAAGAACTTCGAAAGATGGAAACTCACCCTCCCATTGATGCACATAAATACCCTGATAGGTCTTTTAATTGAAAATAAACTACAACATAGGATTTGACTACAAAGAAGGGGAGTGGAATCAAAAAATGGTTTCCAAGTACACTTATTTTGTCTGTACCTGGTAATTACAGCATTGGAATGTTAAGGTAAATACCTTCTCCTTTAAAGCAGTAATTAGTTTAGTGAAGACTAATTCATGAGGAGCTGGAGTTCCTTGGGTTTTTGTGGGTTTTTAATTTGGTTTTGGGTTTGTTTTTTGTTTAATTTATTATTGTGATCTTGGTTGAAAGAGTAATTCGTTATGGTAAATATGAAGAGTAATTTGAGAGAGGTTCAGTGCAGCTTATGGATGGTCATTCACATCTCACTGGCTCATGTCAGTGCGTTACCTGCAGTTGTTAAAAATCATCTGTTTGCTGAACTGTGCTAAGCTTCACTGATGTCATACCTCATTCTGAAATCCTGCTTTTGTTTTAAGCTTCCATTCTTACTTTTTTGATTTTGAGAACAAGACTTTAGAGACACTAGAGTTGTGGGGTGTAGTCAAAGCTGGATAAATCAGGGTAGCAGAACTGGTTCAGAACTCTGGAGAAAAAGCTCCTGATGCAGGTTGGGCTCCAGAGCTCATACTGAGGTCCCTTGGGGATACAAGCCACTTGCAGTTTCTCATAGCATCAGTGCAGCTGGAAGAGGAAATCTATGCTCTTACCTTTACAGATGATTGGATTTGAAGGTAGCATGCCTGTTACTGCTTTGCCTGTGGGAAGGGCATTTAGCATAATAGTATTTTGGTACCAGAAACATCTTTTCTGGAAGGCTCTACGTGTTTACCTTTATTCATTACATATGTTCCATTTATGTGTAAAATGTCTTAGAAATATGGCTTAATTCACAAATGGATTTCACTATTAAGTCTTTATCAGAAGTCTGAAATGGAAGTGTACAGATGTGGAATTTTATTGCTTAGGTGTGCTGAGAGATGTGCTTACTATTGACAGAGTCCCATTCATTGCAAGACAGAATCTTACAACCTGTATTTCAAAATCCTCCTTTCTATGATGTCTATTGGTGGCATTTTCTTTGTAAAAGCAAAGGAGGTTAAAAATTGTGCCTACATGTGTTATTGTTGCTATGACAGTTGTCTTTGTCCGGTTTTAACTATCATATTCTGAATAGCTCTTAACGGGGATTGTGACATCAATGGCTATATGCAGAGAAGTAGAAGAGGAAATCTTTCAATGCTGTCTACTCTCAGTCAAAAAAATGTTTCTTTTGAGTTATGCTGTTTTTAATCAAGATTCAGTGGGTTGAAACATTCCATTACTAACTTTG